TGATACTAGTACATAAAATGGAGTTATGAATATTATGATATCAGTAAAAATTAAAAATTGAATAAAAAATAAAAGTAGCTATTATTGTTGCTTATTTAAGAAATCCAATATTGCTAAAATATTTGTTTACAATATTTTAACCTTTTGAATAATGATATAATCAATGCTCAGAGAAGCAGCAGTCAAGAACACAATGTACTGCATTGGGCCTATCTCCTGCAAAGTACTTGAAGTACTAAAGCACAAAGATGTCACTTTTAGGACTAATATGCACCTGGTATCAGCCATGTATTTTCATTGTCTAATGTGAAATCTAAAGAATAAATAAAGAAGAGAGAAAAATTGATGCACTTGGATTATGAGTTTGCCAAGTATATCCAAAGAACCATGAAATCCCAGAACAAACAAGTTTGTTTTGCAGTACAACCATAATGGTCCAAAAGGGGGGGAACTATGAGACTTCATTTCATACTTCTTGGATATGTTATCATGCAAAATACCCTAGAAACCATTATGGTTGATAAATTAGGGGGTCAATAAAAGAGGGGGAAAATCTCAAGGAGATGGATTGATAGAGTAGTTGCAACAATGGACTCAAGTAGACCAATTGTGAGACTGACGATAGACTTGGCAGTATATGTTCGGTTGTACCTGGGTCATGGTGAGTCAAAACCAACTTGATTGGCATATATCAAAAAACAATACATATTGCATAAGCAAATGTGGTGATGAAACTGACTGGTGCCAGGCTATCAAAAGGTAGAGCATCTGGAGTCTTAAAGACTTGAAGTTAAATAAGAGCCCATCTAGCATAGAAGCAACAAGCCCACATAGAAGGAGCACACCATCCTATGGAATTATGAGGTGTTTTCAGGACCAGGTAACAGGCATCAGACACCCAAACAAACAAACAAAAAAAAAACATTTGTTGAGAACGAAGGGGGTCAGAGCAGAGACCCTAAATCCATCTTTAGACAATGGTAAATCCCCTCACAGAAGGGTCACAATGAAGGATGCATCAACCTGGGTGCAGTAAAGCACCGATGAAACACGCAATATTCCTCTCTTTCCTTGAGGCTTCCTCACCCCCCCACTGTCATGTCCCCAGTACTGCCTTTCACTACGGGCTAACCAGAGCATATACACAGGAACAGATAAGAGACAAGAGCTCATGACAGGCAGAATCCAGGAACAGGAATGGGAATAGCAATACCAGAAGAGTAAGGGGGAGATAGGAAGGGGAGGGGAGGAAGGGGATGATGGACACATTACCACACACCCCACTTCAAGGGGCTTGGGGGGTGGGGACAAAAAGAGGAGGTGATACCAAGGGTTCAATAGAAAAATAAATGTCTAGAAAATAATGTTGGCAACATATGTGCACATATGCTTGATACAATTGATGTATGAATTGTTATAAATAAGAGTTGTAAGAGCCCCCAGTAAAATGATCTTTTAATAATAATAAAGGTACTGAGAGTCATTCCTGACACTCTCTGCCCACACACCCCCCCAATGGATTGTACAATATTTGAGAAATAGCCACTATGCATAAGTATAATTTGGCTAAAATACCTATGTATCTATTTCATTGATGTAACTTGGAAAGTAAAATTACTGGAAAAAAATAGTTGCAGGACCAGCATAAAGGTCCTTGCCGGGCTGACTTAGAACACATACCACCTTGAAAAGTGCAGCTGTACGTGTTCCTTTGATTATGATGTTGTCCAACGGTCTAGTTGGGAGTATTGTCGCTTTCCTCACATTGATTTGCAATCCATGCCTAAGATTGTAGTCTTTGATCTTCTTCAGCAAGTGCTTCAAGTCTTCCTTGTTTTCAGCAAGCAAGGTTGTATCATCTGCATATCACAGGCTGCTTAGCCTTCCTCTAACCATGATGCCACACTCTTCTTCATACAATCCAGCTCCTTAGATTATTTAGTCAGTATAGAGATTGAATAGATATCACGAACAGAAACAACACTGATGCATACCTTTCCTGATTTTAAACCACACAGTATTCACTTGTTCTCTTTACATGATTGCATCTTTTTATCATGTACGAGTTCCACATGAGCACAATAAAGTATTCTGAAATTTAAAAAAAGAAAGGAAGGAAGAGAGAGAATACAGCTGTATGTTGAAAAATGAGAGGAACTGTGGAAAACAATAAGGAGTCCTGGTAGCATGGTAGCTACATGTTGGGCTGCAAACTACAAGGTCAGCAGTTCAAAACCCCCAGCTTCACTGTGGGCGAAAGATGAGGCTTTCTACTCCAGTAAGAGAGTACCACTACCCTGGTCTATTGGATAGCTAGGAGCCAGAAGTGAGTCTATGGCAATGAATTTTGTCATAGGCATAAGAGAACAGAGAAAGGTGTATCAATATCTTTGAATAGTGATGTGCTGTGTTCAAGAAGAGAAATGATAAAAAATAAATTATGGTTTACATTAGAAAAAAAACTTTGAATAGGACCAAAACAATAATTTCTCATTAAATATAGACTCATACGTTTGGATCCATAGGACACTTGCACATCAGGGCTAATCTAGCATTATATCAAATAATAATCTGTTGTGATACATATGATTTTCATTTGCTAATTATCAGAAACAGATCAGCAGGTCCTTTTTTTTTTCAGAGTTGGGAAACTCCACTGAAGCCTGCCCAGCATCAGAGCAACAACAAGCCTCCACTGCTGGGTGAGAGAGCGCTGTGCTTAAGGTCCGATAGCTGGGAATTAAACTGAGGTCATAAGCTACACGGAAGGCAATGATTCCACCAGTGAATCACTAATACTCACCATATTTTCTTATTTGTCTTGTAATTCTGAATTTTTCAGATGATATTTTTTTTGTTAAAACATCATTATCGTCCTCTATTAGCCTCTCCCAATCACGCTACGGCTAGGTCATCAGATTTGACACACCTATTCATTCAAACAGCATATAGAATTCATTTGATCTTTCAAGTAGTCAATGGTGTGTTAAAATAAAAAAGACTCCCATGGGTTTTATTACATTTTCTTCATTTCATACCACATTTTCCCTAAGAGCTAACTATCCATTTATTTAAACTCCCTTTTAATTTACCACATTGTATAATATACTGATTTCATTGTCCACATATAATATACAGGTATTATTTTATGTTACTATTCAATGTTTTCACAGTTGTCTGAATGGAGTCATCTGTCTGTCCACACAATCACATCATATATATCATTGGCTTATTGCTAAGGACATGTGGATTCAGAAGGAGTATGAAAATGTGCCTGCAACCTCTGAAGACAAAGCGAGTGAATAAGCAAATGTGGTGAAGAAAGCTGATGGTGCC